CCTCTACTTGAAAGCTCTCTGATCATATCATTCATAATATCACCTGTTAAATTACAGTTACTCAAGTGAAGCCTATCTAGTATTGGAGTAATTAAAGAAGCCAGTGAAGCACCATTAATTGTACTGAGATTATTACCATCGATATAAAGAGACTTTAATCCTAACTTGATCCCTCTACTTGAAAGCTCTCTGATCATATCATTCATAATATCACCTGTTAAACTACAATTGCTCAAGTGAAGCTCAATCAGTTGTGGAGTAACTGACATTAAAGAAGCCAGTGAAGCAACATTAATTGTACTGAGATTATTACCATCGATATCAAGATACCATAATACTAACTTGATCCCTCTACCTGAAAGCTCTCTGATCATATCATTCATAATATCACCTGTTAAATTACAGTTACTCAAGTGAAGCCTACATAGTATTGGTGTAATTAAAGAAGCCAGTGAAGCACCATTAATTGTACTGAGATTATTACCATCGATATCAAGAGACTTTAATCCTAACTTGATCCCTCTACTTGAAAGCTCTCTGATCATATCATTCATAATATCACCTGTTAAACTACAATTGCTCAAGTGAAGACTATGTAGTATTTGTGTAATTAAAAAAGCCAGTGAAGCACCATTAATTGTACTGAGATTATTATCATTGATATAAAGAGACACTAATTCTAACTTGATCCCTCTACTTGAAAGCTCTCTGATCATATCATTCATAATATCACCTGTTAAATTACAGTTACTCAATTGAAGCATATGTAGTATTGGTGTAATTAAAGAAGCCAGTGAAGCAACATTAATTGTACTGAGATTATTACCATCGATATCAAGAGACCTTAATCCTAACTTGATCCCTCTACTTGAAAGCTCTCTGATCATATCATTCATAATATCACCTGTTAAACTACAATTGCTCAAGTGAAGACTATGTAGTATTTGTGTAATTAAAAAAGCCAGTGAAGCACCATTAATTGTACTGAGATTATTACCATCGATATCAAGAGACTTTAATTCTAACTTGATCCCTCTACTTGAAAGCTCTCTGATCATATCATTCATAATATCTCCTGTTAAACTACAATTGCTCAAATTAAGGTCATTCAGTTGTGGAGTAACTGACATTAAAGAAGCCAGTGAAGCACCATTAATTGTACTGAGATTATTACCATAGATATAAAGAGTCTCTAATGCTAACTTGATCTCTCTACCTGAAAGCTCTCTGATCATATCATTCATAATATCACCTGTAATACAAAAGTTTAAGTGCAACTTTTTAAGTTTTGGTGAATTGGTCAAAAGATGAATTAAAAATATAGTAGTAATTGAACTTTTATTAAATACTTGATAATGTCTAATATCATAATGCATATCAAGTTTCTTATATTCAGCTGTTAGGTATTTAATATCATCATCAGCACACACTTCAGGGATAATATTTTCTAACATATAATTATGATCTCGTATAGGAAACAGTATGTGAGCGAGCATTTTGCCTTTTTCTTCAGATGACATTTTGTTACATAAACTTTTAAAACGAGGTGGTGTAACTGATAGCCTTAGCGTCATGCCATAAATTATTCTCGTAAGTTTAATAAAATGCTCATCTTCAAATACCTCTAAAGATGGATTAATATGATGAATATATCTCATAAGTGATTTACATATGCCATTAACATGTGGTTGTATTTTTAAGTGTGTCTTGGTCATGTGATCAATTAGTGCTTCTTCAACAGAAACCTGGTGCTCTGCCTTCAACGATCTTAAATAATTCTTCATTAGAGAGCGATATGTTGAGAGATCTTTTGTCAACCAGTGAATAAAAAATTTTCCCACATTAGCACCAAGGAATTGTATTGTAAATGTTCTTGCCATTTCTAAATATTCACTTTCTCTTATAATCTCCCATTCATCCTCATCCAATGGAGTAAGTAAATGTTTTAAGTCCCCTGCACACTCATTCTCTAACCCTGCTGTCTGACATAGTTTTGAAATGTAAAATCCTACCAATGACTCTACTATCAACTTGTGAGGAGCTGTAAAACATTGTTCAAAATCAGTTTTTGAATGTGGTTCATCTAGGTAGACAAATCCTAGTTTTAAAGCCAGGAAAACCATTTCTTTTTTTCCTTCTAAATCTCTACTGTTTATCGAAAGTTGGTTTCTCTTTAAGCTTTTATACATGCACTTTCCTAACATAAGCATTGCATGTACATACTCAATGGGAGTATCACTGAATTTAGTGATTTTTTGGGTATTGCCTTCTTGTTTGTTGAACTGATTCAAAATGCTGCGAAAAACCTCTTTAAAAAGATCAGCTTTATTAGTTGGAAGACTGTGCTTGTCTTCCCACATAGTACATACTGAGAGTAGTAACATTGGATTCTTACACATTAAAATTACTTCAAGATGTTTAAATCTATAGAATTCCGTATATAGGTTCAACTCTTTGATAAGAGAATCTCCTAGTTCAGGTCCTTCAAAGTAATCAAAGTGTTTCTTAATATATTTTCTTATGTTCTTAGCATCGAACCCCTTTACTTTCACATGAACACTGCTCACTTTAATAAATTCATTTATGTTTTCTGATCGAGATGTAAGTATCACATTGCTGTCTTCCAATTCCTGTTTTTTAAAAAGGCTTATTGGACATACATTTCCATCTTCTAATTCGTCCAATCCATCTAACAACAATACAATCTCATCATCGTGTCTTAATATGAATCTTTTTATTAACATCGGATCATTCGGAAGATAAGTTTTCATTTCAAAATCATTTAGATTACTTTGTTTCAAAATTACATTAAAAATATCCTCACCTTTGCCAATATCTCTGACATTTATCAGAAACACAATTTTACCTTCAAATGTTTTATCTGAATCATTTGCCCAATTGTAAGCTAAGTACCTGAGAAGAGTTGATTTGCCAATACCACCTTCACCTTCTATGAGAGTTCTACATGCTGGTGTGGATTTGATAACATCTAAAAGCTCCTGTAATGTTACTGGCTCGCCTTCTTTCTTATTTTTTTTCAGTAGCTCCAGATCAGTAAACATATTGGCAATATCTACTTGGTATAATGTACGTAAAGTAGCTGGTGTGAACCGGTTGACACGGCAGCACAAATTTTTTTGTCTTTTGAGTAGATAATTTTTGATAACGGTATCTAGATAAGAGGAGAAAATTATTAGTAATTCTTAATAGGCTGCAAGCGAAATGATGCAAATACAACATTGCTAGGAGAATATTTCTATTATATGACGCTTTTTACAAAATGCTTCACATTCGACAACAATAAAACATCAACATACTATGAAGTAATTACTGTAATATATGAGCATCAGCTCTGGACACTCACTGAATATTACTTTTTTAAGAACCTTTTAACCTTTGCAAAAATTTCAATTATTCATTTAAATGTTTTTGTGAGGGTGATTTATGTACGATAAGGGGCAACTTATTCTAATAATAAGAACAAAGAAGCAAGAATGAATTGTTTGGAGCTTTGGTTTTCATGTCTATCAATGAGGTGGTACCTAATATGCTTTAAAACTTTTGTAGGGAGTTATTATTGTCTTGAGACATTTTTTAAAAGAGAATTACTGTAGAGTAATACGATGGGTGGTCATGAGCTTATAGTGTATATTTTTTCCAAAAAATCATTCAATATCTTTGTATATATTTAAGTTGCCATTTCAGGATGTTTACCAGCTCTGGTATTGGTCCTGTTAAACACATTGCGCGCTGTGATTTGGTTAGAACTAGCGGTTTTGCAATTGTTAGTTGTTTTAGTGTTTGAAACCATGTTTACTGGGCACAGTGGTGTGGTTAAAGTTTATTGTTTTCTGTACCCCAATTCTGCTGCACAAGTGTGTCGACTCCCTCAGATCTGGGAACCTGCTGTTTTAACGAGGCAAATTGCATATTGCCGAGTGTTGCAAGACCGATCCACTGTATGCGGGCCACAAACTTTTTTTCTGCAGTACACATAAGCAACATAGATTTCTTTTAGCCAACCAGAACATAGGAAGCCCACGACGACGTCCGACATACTCATGAAGAATTGATCAGAAGTCTCACCTCGCTGCTACTTTCGTTTTGCAGAAGGGTGAAATGAAAGCTTTTGCATGTTTAAATAGTAGGGTAGGCAATTAAGAGAGCACTGGGTTACAATTCATAGGGTGGGTTATTAATTAAGTGCCCTAGCTTACTATTTATATGATGGGCTATTAAAAAAAAGCACTGAGTTACTATCAATAGCGTATAGGTTATTAACAGCACTGGTTACTATAGGCCAACCAGTAGGTTGTTTTACGCTGTTATCAACTATCATATAGTTGGCTTGATTATTATAGGCTTGATTCACTATGTGGTGGTGTATATGCATTGGTATGTAGGCCTAGTACCTTAGTACTAGTAGTAGTAATTGAATTTTCTTGCAAAGTGCTCTTAAGAAAAACATTATCAAGTTATTTTGAGCTCCTTGGTAAAGAAAATAGGCTATGTATGTTGCGAAAAAAAAAAGACCCTATAAGTTTTCGATTTAGTTAGGCATTAGAAAAATGTTATTATGTAATTGAATGTAGAGTGATATTATAATTGATTATGTGGAAATATGCAGTTGGTGCACGAGAAGATTAAACAACCTTGTATTGATAGATAGAACAGAGAGGAAGAGGGAAAATTAAAGGACCAATGACTAGTTTTGAAGCCTTATTTTTTAAGGATGAGGGCAGAGAGACTGCCGATGCTCCCCAAATTAAAAATCCTGCCAGACGGAGGGCTAAGCTTCCCCGACGGGGTGGGGGCTATAGCCCCCCAGCCCCCCTCTGGCGCCACCACTGTTGTGTAGGCTACATCATAAATCTTAGGTTCTCTTAGACGGTCAATACCTGTTTGTCATTGCACAGAGTATACTACTAGATACTTTGGACTGATCATCCTCACCCACACAAAAAGGATCCATACTTGACTTGAGTTTTTTTTATTTTTTAATCAGAGCGAACGATTACGTGTTCACGTCATCGTGGTTTCCTATGTTCTGATTGGCTAAATGAAATCTATATTGCTGTGTACTGCAGAAAGAATATGCATGCAGTGCCACATTTCATCTAGCTATTGGAACAATATTGTATGTAGCCACCATTCGTATCTTAGGTTCAATGTTGAAAGTGTCGGCTTCCGCATTTTCTCGTCCTGTTAAATTTTTGGCGGATTTATGAATGTTGTGAAATGCTAGGGACCAAATTGCCTTGTCATGTCTGCCAGATCTTTCGCAGGCCTGCCTAAGTGATTCAGGTAAGTTACTGTGGAAATATTATCTGATACTATATGTACTGATTTCCCTTTGTAGAAAAGTGCCATCAGTGCAGCGCTCAATTCTTGTTAGTTGGAAGGCATACTTTGTAGTCTTCAGTTTCAAAAGCCTGCTGCATGATTGATTATTATCCACGATGCCCAACCTGTTGTAGATGCGTCTGCACTGGATGTTTACGTAGGTAAGCAATTGTTTCAACTCTTTATTGCGATCTGCTGTCAAAAACCACTCATCAACGAACAGCGCAGTGCATATCCCACGTGTATGCACATTGGTAAGAACTGGCCTCAACGTTTTTGCAAAAAAATTATGGTGATGCAAGACCACATGGAATCCTTGTCCAACAATAATATTGTTTTTTTCCACTGAAATCATACGTACGTTTGATGGTCTTTGGCTACAGGTACATGATAAAAACCATCTTTAGAGTCCAATATACAGTAATAAATAAATCCTTGTTTACAACACTAGATGAAATCACATTAATTTTTTCATTTGTAAATTTCTTTGTCTCAATAAATGAGTTCAAGATGTTCAAATCAATAATTGAAAGCCACTGTTTTTTCCCTTTATTTCAGCACATTTAATGGTGATACTACAGTACTAATGGTTTAAGATTTTCATACAATATGATTTTCAGATAATTTTTTTAAGTTCAATGTGAAAACATGAGTTCATGTCGCGACATTCATGCCCAAAGAGGGCGCTTGTCTATTGTAATTACTGACATTAAGTTTTGCAGTTTTATTGGTAGAGCAGCAGTACAGTACATTGATTAACAAAATGTGAGAATAGATTTACACCATAATAGGGGTTAATTTGCAGTTAAATTACTTTACCATACCTTGGTCGCCTTCCAACATCAATTTTCGTCTTTTAGATGCTGTCGGTTTGAGTTCACCATCTGTAAAAAATGAATAGTTGAGTGTTTTTACTTTGAATATTTCATCTATATTAAGGACTGAGCATCACCTGGGCTAAGCATCGTATATTATGTGCTCTAGGCATTGCCTGGGCTCAAAGCATCAGCTAGCTAGGCCTAAACATTAGGCCTAAAAAAAATAGTTTGTTTGCCCTTCATTTTTTTAAATTATAAAAAGGGGCGGGTGGGAAATATCGCACATCAGACAACAACTTTCAACTAATTTGTAGAGCATCTGGCAAAAATTAAAGGTAAATAATTATTATGTAAAGATTACTATGTTCATCTGTAAGTATTCTTATCTATAAGTTTGTATTTAATATATGTATATTTGTATTTAACTGTTTAAGAACTACATAAGGCCAAAATGAAATTAATGTTATCTATTTGTATATTTAAAATTAATATTTTGTATTCCAGTCGCGAATCCAGGAGAGCTACAGTATAAAGTTCTGTAGTTAGTAGACAAAATGGCGTCTGCATGCCTCGAATTCATTATGTTAATTTTGAATTGAAAGGTTGTTATTTACAGTATATTACTTTGTACTCTTTTTTGTTTTGTTTTACTTTGTGTATTGAGGGTCTCTAATGATCAGCTTCGGCTGGATGGACCACCCTCAATAAAGATTGTTGAAATAAAATATAAATAAAGACCGCTGTAGAACGGGGACTAGAAACGCGAGATTTTAGCACATTTAAAATAAGTAATGTCAATGTACTCCCAAGATTACAATTCTTTTTTGATAAAATATTAATGCATCTTAAGCATTCTATTGTCCTGTTCAACCATAGGTAGATCAAGTGCGATCGCGAATGAAACAGAGGCCTAGCTTGGCCTACACTACGTATTGGGTCTTTTCTCTCATCTTCTTTAAATGCTAAACCAGTCAAACTATGGTCAAATTTTAGTTAAAATATCATTTATATTTTAAATGATATTAGAATGAGACATTTATTTTTACTTTCTCAAACTTACTGTATAATTGGAGCACATAACTTTTTTTGAATGACATTTTCAAAAGGCTCTTGAAAAAGGCCTAGTTCGATTTTTCTATTTTGAGACGCATGCAACAAATCGGCACAAAATAACAAGGGACCATACTTAAGGGCCATACCTTGGTCACCTTTCAACATCAACTTTTGTCTTTTAGATGCTGTTGGTTTGAGTTCTTCATCTGTAAAAAATTGAATAATTGTTAAGGATTTTACTTTTGAATATTTCATTTTATCTAAGGACTTAAGTATCACCTGGATCTAAGCATCATTATGTGCTCTAGGCGTTGCTTGGGCTAAAAGCCTCAGCTAGCTAGTTTCTAAACACCAGGCCTAAAAAAGTAAATTGTTTTTGTTTTTTTTAAATACTCATCAGATGGAATAAAAATAACCCACAGAGGCCTAGAACGGCAATATTTTACATCAGACAACAACTTCAGACTAATTTGTAGGGCATCTGGGAATAGATAAAATATACAGTAATTGTCAATCAACAACTAAGAAGAAGTCCACAGCATGAACAAAAGCTTGTGAATATTTTCAATGAAGTTTGTTAGTCTGTAAAGTGTTTAATAAAGTCATAGATCCCAGATTAAATTTACCTTCTAAAAGAGCTTCCACAGCTGAAAAGAGCTGGAGTCTCTCCAACCTTTCAATAAATGCTTTCATGTTTTCTTCACAAATTACTCTTCTGTGCTCTAGATCCCTAATCAAATGCCATCTGTCTTCATATTTCTTGAGTAGTGTGTTAAATGAACCATTCAGCGTTGCTACATCCTCTTCATTCAATGTCATTCCTAGTTTTACCAGCTTTTGCCTGTACGATGTGAATTTTGATACTGTTAAATTCTTAACATTTTGGAAAAGTGGAAGCAGATCCTCATTCTTTGGTTTGAATCCAAATTGTTTAGTTATGTTTATGGTATCATACAGAATACTAAGATCTGTTGGACTCAGACTCCCAGAAGCATGCAAGTTGTTCAGCAACTCGCGCATTTTATTAGCTTTATCTAGTGTACTAACATCAGTCAAATCACTGTACAGTACTTTCAGCATACTGATGGATCCAATTCCATCATACCATTCTGATATATCATGCAACAGCTGACGATAATCCTCATCGGAAATTCCTAGAAAAAATGTAATAATAAACATACTGTAAGTCCTTGAATTGAAGCCTACTGGGTTTAATCTCGAGATGGAGCCCATCTTGAATTGAAGCGCCATCCCAATTTTTAGTTTGCAAAATTAGCCTTGAAAAGAAGCCCTTCTAAAAAAAAAAGCCCATAGGCTTCTTTTCAAAATGGCATAGGCTTCTTTTCAAAATAATACAGTCACATACACTGTACATTAATTTTAGAAAACAAAATAAATTAAATACAAGCTAGGTTTATAATAATAATAATAATAATTATAATTATACAGTAGTTTAGGTGATTTAATGCCAGTTAAATACACTCCATGATACAGATTGATGTTACAATCGCTTTATTTATTGTTTTACAGTACAATTTCACAAAATGTACAGCATTCAAACGTGTTTGATCTTTAGTATATTTATAGCTTTGTCACCTACTAGGGGTAATGTTTTGATTGGTCACAACACTTTGGGTACATGTGCATATGAAAGCTTGCAAATATGGATAATTTTTCATTCCTGATGATGACATAATTAATGTCAAAATATTGAATCCCAACACGATGGCGTGCATTTTTTTGATACTTGGAGTGTGTATTATACTATCTTATCTGAGATTAATCAGTGCACCTTTTGGTTTTACGTATTGCTGAGTATTAACTTTAGTGTAAAGTTTTGCTACAAGATATCACATACCTTGATTTGATTGCTCAGATTTAATAAAGTATAGAAGCCAGCGTGACTTTACAGGGCTCACATCCAAATCTCTCACACTACTCATGGAGAGGCTATGCTCCTCTCCATTAATTCATCACCATCACTGAACGTGTTACATTGGTAATTAATAACTCATTTCATCTTTTCCATCTTTTTGCACCTGTCTCTCTAGACTTGCCACAAGTCTCTTATTTGTTATTATTTTTCTCATTCTGGACAGCGCCACCAACGAGAAAGTTAATTTAGAGATAGACGGAATATGGGACGCCAATTAAATTAGGTATGGCGCGCACTAAGTGCAATAAAGAGTGATATCCTAAAATTAGGGCCTGGAACCCAGGCTACTGTCTCTCCTACACAATTTTCAGCATTAAAAGGCAAACAAACAATTTACGCCTAATACTGGTTCACTAACTCCGAGTGCAGGAACCTTTAGGATACTAAACACAACATTTTTTGTCAGTAAATAGAAGATTCCAAATAAGTACAGCACACCATATGAATAATTATACAGCTAGTAATGAATGCAACCAGCATTATTTTGTTAATGTTTATAAAACAATGTTAGCTTACCCTTTGTGGTTTCTTCTGCCATATTGACTTTCTTTTTAATAAACTTTTACCAGTTGTGGTACTTTATACACTGTGGCTGTCTCTTATACACATCTAGATGTGTATAAGAGACAGGTATAAAAAAAAAAAAAAAAAAAATGTTTTTGTAAGAAAAGTTTGTAGGCAAATGCCAGTAGGTTTTATAATGAAGAGCATTGAAACGTCAAATCAAAACGATATCATTATCAGATAAAACTTTATTTTCTGTTAAAAGAAGAAATTGTTTTGCTCAAAAACCAATAAGAACAAAATAAGAACATTCTGAGCCTGAAATCGGCCAAAAAATAAGATGATTGAGCCTGGCCAAAATTTTACCGGTTCTTACCAAAGATCTATAATAACAAGATAGCGTTTCTTCGCAATTTCTGCGTGCAAATTCTGTAATAAATAACGCAGTGTAGGATGCCCTCTTGCAATTACAATTACTTTTCAACTTTGACATCTATGATCTCAGCGCAAATTCTGGAACAACCGCCATAGTAACAACTAGCTAGGACGCTTTCATTCAATTACAATTACTTTCTATAAAGATCTTATAAACACAAGATAGCGTTCGCCGCGATTTACCCATACAAATTCTGTATTAACACATGAACGGCGCCCTCTTGCAAAATTGAAAACATTTGAACCTTGACCGCGCGACTTTTCATTTATGCGTAACAATTAGAAGGGTACGATTTACAATGCGCCCTCTAATTAGAACATAAGGAATAAATTAACGTACTTGGTAACAAACTTTGGCGTAACGCGAACACCCTACATCAGATCAATGGCAACGACTAGGACGCCCTCTCCCAAAACTGACTTTCCTCTGCCAAATCGAAGCTTCTATTAGTAAAATCGTGTAGAACGTGTCTTGTGTTTATAAGATCTTTGCTTTCTATTGTTTCCTGTGTGAACTGGATGCTTCTCTTTATGATACGAAATTCGCGGAGAACACTATCTTGTAATATTATAAGATCTTTGGTTCTTACTCTATAAAAAAAGTGTTATTTTTATGGACTGATGTGATGTAATCGGTAGTCACTCCTTAGAGGTCACAACAGCGAGGTTCACATGCATATTTATGAGCTACATTTTTCAACCGTGGCCTATGCATTATTCATAGGAAGTGTTTAGCGAATTGAGGGGAATGTACAATAGCTGAGAAATGGAGCACAGTGCTGCCCTTACTATACTACTTTATCAATAAACTATGATATATGTCATGTACTACTGTATCAATAAACTATGATATATGTCATGTACTACTGTATCAATAAACTATGATATATGTCATGTACTACTGTATCAATAAACTATGATATATGTCACGTACTACTGTATCAATAAACTATGATATATGTCACGTACTACTGTATCAATAAACTATGATATATGTCACGTACTACTGTATCAATAAACTATGATATATGTCACGTACTACTGTATCAATAAACTATGATATATGTCACGTACTACTGTATCAATAAACTATGATATATGTCACGTACTACTGTATCAATAAACTATGATATATGTCACGTACTACTGTATCAATAAACTATGATATATGTCACGTACTACTGTATCAATAAACTATGATATATGTCACGTACTACTGTATCAATAAACTATGATATATGTCACGTACTACTGTATCAATAAACTATGATATATGTCACGTACTACTGTATCAATAAACTATGATATATGTCACGTACTACTGTATCAATAAACTATGATATATGTCACGTACTACTGTATCAATAAACTATGATATATGTCACGTACTACTGTATCAATAAACTATGATATATGTCACGTACTACTGTATCAATAAACTATGATATATGTCACGTACTACTGTATCAATAAACTATGATATATGTCACGTACTACTGTATCAATAAACTATGATATATGTCACGTACTACTGTATCAATAAACTATGATATATGTCACGTACTACTGTATCAATAAACTATGATATATGTCACGTACTACTGTATCAATAAACTATGATATATGTCACGTACTACTGTATCAATAAACTATGATATATGTCACGTACTACTGTATCAATAAACTATGATATATGTCACGTACTACTGTATCAATAAACTATGATATATGTCACGTACTACTGTATCAATAAACTATGATATATGTCACGTACTACTGTATCAATAAACTATGATATATGTCATGTACTA